AGAGAGGCAGATTAAAAGTGCCTTTGATTAGCCAGTTATGTTGGTACACACCTGTAAGACCAACTACTCAAGAGGCAGAAGCAGAAGGAGCACAAGAGGCAATGTATGGGAGACCCTGTCCAACAAACAAAATACAGCCAGGCACCAGTGGCTCACGCCTGTAATCATAGCTACTCAGGAGGCAGAGATCAGGAGGATTGCCAGTCCAGGCAAATAGTTCCATGAGTCCCTATTTCGAAAAAACCCAACACAGAAAAGGGCTGATGGAGTGGCTCAAAGTGAAGACCCTGAGTTCAAACTCTAGTACCACAAAAAAAAAAAAAAAAAACAGAAAACCAGGCTGAGGGATGTGGCTCAAGTGTACAGCACATTCCTAGCATGTAAGAAGCTCTAAATTCAATCCCCAGTACAGAAGAAGGAGGAGGAGGAGGAAGGGGGGAGAGGGCTGTGAGAGAGGGAGGGGGATGGGGAGGATGGGAGAGGAGAGGGTGAGAAGAAGGAGGAGGAGAAGGAGGAGGAGAAGAAAAGGGGGTTATTTGATTTGGGTTTTCAGGGTCAAGAATAGGAGGATGAATTTAGGAAATGGAGAGCCACTTTTGTTTCTGTTTGTTTGAGTGACAGATTACTGTGCTTTTGGAAGATCTCTGTGGCAGATGTGTACAAGGAAGATTGAAGGAGGAAGAGAGAGTGACTATTGTAATTGGCAGGTGAGTCACTGAGATGATCTAAATAAGGAAATGATAAAAGAGGAATGGAGTTGGAGATGTCATCCATCTATCTACCCACCTATTTATCTCCCTACTGACCTACCTACCTGTCTGCCCATCGTTCTGTCTTTGTAAATTCTTATGACAAGTGACAACAAAAGTAACAATATATTATGCCAATTCTGAATTTTCAAAGAATGGTTTAGTCACCAAAAAAGAAATCCCTTTCTTTTAAAAGGAAATAGTACTTTTACTGTTGTCTTTTTTGTTCTATTCACTCATTATTCAGAGACTTCTTCAAAGCAAGGTCTCTATAACATCATTCTTACTCCTTCTATGGGAAAATCTCTACTATCCTAACATAACTTACGAGGTAGTCCTTATATATATGAAAGTAACTCCTAATGAAATATAAGATTTCACCTTTTACTCTAGAACCTTGAGTAGATTCAGATGGTCTGTCCTATTCATTGCCTGTTTTCTTTTTTTTTTGGCAGTACTGGGGTTTGAACTCAGGGCCTGTACTTGCTAGGCAGGCCCTCTACAAGCTTAGATATGCCCCAGTCCAATGTGATAACTGGTTCCCTTCATCTTTTTTTTTTTTTTTTTTTTGTGGCAGTTCTGGAGATTGAACCAAAGGCCTTGTGAATGCTAGGCAAACACTTAACTACTGAGCTATATCCCCAGCCTATCTGTCCTATTCATATGGGTTGTCCGCACGGGTCCAGTCTGCTCACTATTCCTCACAAAGCTGTCACTGCCCATCTTGTGTGGCATGCAGGAAGAAAGCTTAAGGTCCCTCATTCTACATGTAGGGGCTTAACCAATTTATTAAACAAACTCATGACAGATTCTTAACTTTCTAAAACTTCTGACCACACCACTTCTATGCTACTACCTACTTACACACACACACACACACACACACACACACACACACACACACACACCTGCTTCCTATCTATTTATTTCTTCATGCCCTATTTATATCTTCAAGGAATATTCTGTTGACAAAATCAATTGATGCAGTGTCCAATTTGTTTGTAGTAATTTATACAGATGGGTCAATCTGAATTGAAAGTGCTGTGAAGCAACATTCATTTAAAACTCCGAAGCATTCATACTGCCCTGGATTCTCCATCGAAGGGAAACCAGTTGCTCAGCACTGAGGTGATTCTCAGGATGTGAAACTTAACAATGCTAGATGCAGGACAGCTCCACACAAAATGAGATGCTTGGCATTCCTTACTGCAGGCTCCTTTTTCTCCATTCCGGCCTCTTTCCCTCCCTCCCACCAGTCTTTCCTCCCTCTCAACCTCTCTGTCCAATGAACCCTTTGCACTCAGAGGGAGCTGTATTCAAGATAAGTTGCACTGATGAAAACCAGACAACTCAGAGCTCCCAGACACTGTCAAAAGTACTGAAACATCTTCCTACCAATAAAAGTTGTGAACTACAAGAACAGAATTTTAAGCTCTCTGTAACCCAGTCATTTTGTGGCTATAGAGATCTCATTCAGTGAAATTGGCAAGAATTTAAAAATGCTAAAATGTTGGCAAAAGAAAATATGGCTTTACAAAAATATTTAAAACATACAGTTTTAAAATACAAATTTCTCCTGTGGATCTCATAAGAGAAATAAATGTATGCAGTATGCATGTTAGAAAGAAAATCCTCAAATGTTCATGAAAAGACTATCACCATAAGAACTCTAAACCACATGATGAACAGATAAAACATGCCTGAAATGTGACCAAAAGCACAAATTCATAGCTCTCTTCAAAACAACAACATTTATATTCAGAATAAACTTCACATTATTTCAGAAAACAATTTAAGTAAATCCATAATTTGATAAATTCAGGGATCTTTGCCTGAAGTATTTAGCTTCTTTTTTTTTGCAGTACTAGGGTTTGAACTCAGAGCCTACACTTCAAGCCATTCCACCAACCCTTTTTTGCAATGTTTTTTTTCAAGATAGGGTTTTGCAGAACTATTTGCCCAGGCTGGCTTCAAACTGTGATCCCCCTGATCGCTGCCTCTGAGTAGCAAGGATTACAGGTGTGAGTCACCAGCGCCTGGCAGGAATTAGCATTTATGCAATAGATTGATTGTTTTTGGGCAAGTATATTTTCTGTAGTGTGGAAGCCATCTTTGTCTCTGGCTGCCCCAGATAGTCTGAGATCCATGGTGCTTCCAAACACTTGCCTCACCACTTCCTCACCACTGCCCACCTTATCTCTTTCCTCTTACCCTTCCTTCTTCAAATCTACCCATTTTCCTGGACACTTCTTCAGTGCTCCTCCTGTTTTCCAACCTAAGCTTCATATTCTAATTCCAATTTCACTTTTCTAATTTTGTTCTTACTCTAAGATCATAGATAAAGTCTAAAGTCTGTCTTTCCCACTAGACCACAAGGTCTCAAAGTCCAAGGTTGGATTATTCATCTCTGCCTTGTAGAATACTTATAATCATGCTTATATAGAAAGTTTTTGACAAATGTTTTCTGAGTTTAAACCCCCAAGCCTCCAGTGGTAAAATATGTTTTTGTTTTTTTTTTAAAAGGTTTCATATGCATCTCTATCATCACAGTTTTTTGTCAAGGGCAAATTTGCCTATAGATAGGCAGGTCGTTGAGAACCCAACACCTGTGATTTTACTCTATGTTGCAAAATCCCTTTCCCATCTTTAATCTTGAGTTTTTATATCATCAACCAGTTAGTGGAGAGGCAGGAAATCAAGGATGGTAGAGAGGAGTGAAAACTGGTTCTCTTGCCTGCTGAGAGCAGCTATCCTAGGTACTGACAGTAGACAGAGCCAACCACACCTGCTCAGTAACCCTGTGGAAGAGAAGAACAGGATTGAAATTAGAACGTGACTGCAGGCTGGCAGAGTGGCTCAAGTGGTAGAGCACCTGCCCAGTAAGCATGAGACCCTGAGTTCAAATCCCAGTACCACCAAAAAAAAAGTAACTCTACCAGAAATAGAACACCTAGAAACCAAGGCAATTCTCACAAAATCTCACAATGGTTTGAAGTTATAATGGTTGGCTGTATCACTAAGGGATTTTAATTATGCACAGTCCAGAGGTATGCCAACTGGACTTGCAGCCAGAGGCCTTTGGTCTGGTCTGCACAGCAGCCCTCTGTACAGTGAAACCCAATACAACAAACAGAACTGTTCTAGGGTTTGTCCTCCCTCATCCTCAACGGTCTCCAGGGTGGGTGGCAGGGGTGGGGTGGAATTCATGCACCCCATGACTTTGACTGTCACAGATGGATCACTCACTGATTGCTGGATCCAATCATCTCTGGTACATGGGAAAACTTGTGTCTCCATTAGCTCACTTGTTAATCACTGTCTTATTCTTCCCCATGTAAGTACTGTGCAAAATTCATTCACTTAAAGTATACAATGTAGAGGTTTTAGTATATTCAGAGTTGTGCAACTAACACTACCACCTAATTTTAGAACATTTTTATCACCTCCCTCCAAAGCTCCATACACATTAGCAGTCACTTCCTTTCCCACCTTCCAACCCTGGCAATCACTAACTGAATTTCTGTGTTTATGGATTTGCTTGTTATAGATATTTCTTTTCTTTTCTCCTTTCATTTCCTTCCTTCCTTTCTTCCTTCCTTCCTTCCTTCCATCCTTTCTTTTTTGCAGTACCAGGGTTTGAGCTCAGGGTCTCATGCTTGCTAAGCAGATATTCTATCATTTGAGTCACACCACCATCTCTAGCTGTTAATAGAATTGATGTCATGCCATACATGGTCTATTATGACTGGCTTCTTTCACCTAGCATAACATCTTCAAGGTTGATTCATAGTGAAGCACGTATCACTTTTTATGGCTGAATAATACTCCATTACATCACTATTCCACATTTTGTTCATCCATCCTCAGCTCACGGACATTTGGGTTGTTTGTAGATTTAAACTGCAGGTGGTCCTTATTGTCCCATAACCCCATTAAAAGTTGAAAGTATCATACTCAAAATACATTTAATATACCTAAATTACCAAACACCACAGTGCATTAGCCTGCAGTTGGACAAAATCATCTATCACAAAGCTCATTTTATAGTAAAGTACAAACATCCTATGCACACACAGAGAGGGGAATCTTGTGCATGATGGGAGGCAAAGATGCCCAGCACAATACCCAAAGCCACTGGCAG